CCCGCCCCAGCCCCCAGGACTCGCAGCTCACCTTTCTGCTGCAGGACAGCTTCTATTTCTCCATCTGCTTCCTGAAGGTCTTTCTTCCTTTTGCTTCCTTTGCTCTTCAGTCTGACTTTCCTTTTTTCACTACACTCCAGAAGAGAAGCATCTTTGGGATTCTGGAAAGAAAAGAAATCTCAACATGCCTTGCTTGACATCACAATACCAGTGATGTTTCCATCAACACGGGCATGACTGAAAATAAGGCATTCCCGGCCGGGCACTGGCACCTATGCCCAACCTCCGTGCTCAGGCATGGTCTCTGCTGCGGATCGGCCTTCTTTTCTGCAGCTGAAAGCTCAGTTTCTATCCCGCACGTGAAAACTTCCTTTCCAGACTCCTCCAGTTAGAATTAACCTCTTACTCACACTCCCAGAACACTGAATTTGCAAGTGCAGGATAGCCTGCCATTATCTGCCTTGTATGTGAGCACTTCTGTGTCTTTCACGGAACTGTGAGCTTCTAGAGATGAAACACTAACGTTCATCTTGTACTTCTCACCGAGCCTTTCACCAGTGGGTCTTCATGTGATGTCTGATGAATCACTAAATTAAACAGGACTACAGAGCTGCTTTGAAAGCCATAAAGAAGTATGATTCAACGTAAGAGTCAAGCTGTTTCCTTAGCCTTTGCAATAATGTTCTCTAAAAACAGATGATCAGGGCACCTGGGTGGCTCAGTCGTTAAGCGTCTGCCTTCGGCTCAGGTCATGATCCCAGGGTCCTGGGATCGAGTCCCACAACAGGCTCCCTGCTCGGCGGGAAGCCCACTTCTCCCTCTCCCTCTGCCCCGCTGCTCCCCCTGCTTGTGCGTTCTCTCTCTAATAAATGGATAAAATCTTTGGAAAAATAAAAATTAAAAAAAAAAATTCAGTCCCTCATTTACACTAACCACATTTTGAATGTTCAAGAGCCACACTAACCGCATTTTGAATGTTCAAGAGCCACACGTGGCTAGCACTTACCACGCTGGACAGTGAGCCCCAGGGGCGTCCTCAGGGACTATCGTGGGGCAGATTACTGTGAATCCTCTCATTCTCTCGGGCGTTAAAAACTAGTTAAGGTTGGTGCCCAGTGTGTTCGCTTTGTGGTAATTCATCCAGCTTTACTTTTATGTATGGTACAGTTCAACTTAGGTTAAAAAAAAGGGTGTCTACTAATTCTGTACATTTTTGTGGTGTACCCATTTGTGCAGGCCCCCTCAAAGCATTACCCTAAGCTCAAAATGAGCCATACGCTGCTTCCGCGCTAACTTCCCTTCCTCCGACAACGACCAACCTTCTGTAACACATGCCCAAGGTACCTGTTCTTTAACCTGCACTGGTAAATGCACCTTGGAAGGCTCATCAGGCACTAATTCAACAAACTGACAACTACATGTCAGATGCATTTTATTTCTTTTTATTATTTTTAAGATTTTATTTGTTTTAAAGAGCACACATATGCATGCACAAGTGGGGGCAGAGGGAGAGAATCTCAAGCAGGCTCCACGCCCAGTGCAGAGCCCTATGCTGGGCTCGATCCCAGGACCCTGAGATCATGACCCAAGCCAAAATCAAGATTCAGACTTTCAACCAACTGAGCCACCCAGACGCCCCGTTAGCTGCATATTAGTCAGGGAGACATTATTAAACAAACCAAAGGTCCTGTTCCCCTGAAGTGGACATTCTAGTGGAGAAAGTCAAAGAAAAAACCCAACTAAACAATTACACAGCAAGTTCTAAGTGGTCCTAAGTGCCTGACAAAAAGGAGATGAAGCAAACGGTATCCAATGACATGGTATTTTACACATCAGGAAAGGACGCTGCCAAGATTCCAGGGAAACAAGATGTGAGTCACAGGAATCTGGGGACAGTTCCAGACAGAAGCACAAGTGCACAGGCCCAGGTGAGCGTGCGTGGCGTGTTCTAGAAACAACCCAAGGCCATGGAGGCCGAGGAGATGACTGAAGAGCCAGCAGGGCAGCTGCGCGCACACGGCTTTGCTGGCCACTGTAAGGCCTTTTTTTTTTTTTTTTTTAAAGATTTTATTTATTTATTTGACAGAGGGATAGACAGAAGAGCACAAGCAGAGGGAGTGGCAGAGGGAGAGGGAGAAGCAGGCTCTGCACTGAGCAGGGAACCCGATGCGGGACTCGATCCCAGGACCCTGAGATCATGACCTGAGCTGAAGGCAGATGCTCAACCATCTGAGCCATCCAGGCGCCCCATAAGGCCTTTGATTTTAGACTGAACGAAGCCATTTCTAATACATGAATGAGAACAATCTGACTTGTAAAAACAACATCTATGGGGCGCCTCGGTGGCTCAGTCTGTGAAGCGTCTGCCTTCAGCTCAGGTCATGATGCCAGGGGCCTGGGATCCAGCCCCGCATTGGGCTCCCTGCTAAGCGGGGAGCCTGCTTCTCCCTCTCCCTCTGTGCTCTCCCTCTCTCTCTCAAATAAATCAAATCTTAAAAAACAAACAAACCAAAAAACGACATTTGTGTGTGGAGAATAAAGTGAGGGGAGATTACTTAAGTAGTTAAGGCTTGGACTTGGACAGAAACGGTGGCAGTAACAGGACGTGCCCATGTTCTCTGTGTGCTTCCAAATCCCCACACCCTTCATGAAACACAAGAGTCTGCTGATGCTACATTCAGGAAAAGGGGGTAATGTGCTCCAACTACTTAGGGCTAAATTCCACAACAAAAATACCTCTATCTCAGATCCTAGCTTCTTGTGATTACTCTTCTCATCTGTCACGTCCATCTTTCCACCAGTTCTGTCGATAAACCACCCTCCCTCAGAACCTCTGGCTGGGGTCTTCAAGGGGATGAAGCGTGTTCCGGAAGGTGTCCACGGGCTCGAGCCAGTGGTTTCTCTGGGCTCCATCTCGGGAGTCCTTGAAACAGATTCAGGATGTCCTTTCCGATATAAGGAGAGCAGGGAGCTGTTCATGTGATTTGCTGCCTGGCAGAAACACGACATCAGCATGAATTCCTCCCAGGTCCTTGTGGAAAGCTGGTTACCAGTACACTGCACTCCCCACAGCTTCTCTCATAGCATTTTAGCCAGAAAACACTGGGGTCCACAATAAGACGCTTCAAACATTTACTGTTCATAAACAATGTCCCCCCCTTCACCTCAAGTTAATGCACCAATTCATACACGGAAGTTAAATAAAACCAAGTAAGTAAGCTCGCTTTTAAAACGTACAAAAGAATCAGGTATAAAAATGAGCTGGTTGTCAAGGAGAGTCACTACTAGCCCATCAAGTCAATACTGGATCAGAATAACTCGTTATCGTCCTGACTTTGTTAATAAATTAAAAAACTGAATTACCGTTGGGGAAAAAACAGTAAGCTACAAATCATCTAGCAGGGATGCCTGGGTGGCTCAGTTGGTTAAGCGACTGCCTTGGGCTCAGGTCATGATCGTGGAGTCCCAGGATTGAGTCCCACATCAGGCTCCCTGCTCAGCCTCCTCTGACCCTCCCCCCTCTCGTGCTCTCTCTCTCTCTCTCAAATAAAATCTTTAAAAGAAAAATCATCTAGTATATTATTTCTACATTTCCCTTTAATTGAAACCTACTTCTTGGCAATGCCAGCCCTTTGGTAGAAAATGTATCCTTTTCTCAATTTTTACTGTTAATTCCCCTTTCTCTTCCCATGTGCCCTTATTTCTGGCCACTCTCTTCCCCTTTTTCCCTATGAAATAGGCTATAAACACAAATACTGAAAAGATAGCCATCCGGAGATTTCTTCAACACTATACACAGAAGTATTTTAATTATTTATTGATGGAGATGTTCAAAGTCTCTGATTCTATTCCACACTGATTTTTTTAAGGAGGGTTCATAATAATTTAAAAAAAAAGAAAATCAAAGTGGGTCCATTAAATGTCTGGCTTACCTGTGGATCTGGGTAGTCTTCCATATTTGAATCATCATCTGAATAGCTTTCAGTAAACCTCAGTAAGAAGAGGGAAAGAAACATTTTAAAGGCTTTTCTCCCACATTCTAAAAAATTACTACCCTAAACAAAAAATATACTAAGGCAAAATATTATGGTGGTTAAGGGTCCAGGCTCTGGAGTTAAAAGAAATCTGGATTCAAAATACAACACTGCTGGTTTCTAGCTTCTACTTAATCTCTGTGAGGATCAGCTTTCGTATCTATAAAGAGTAAGAATAAATAATGTCCACCTCACTGGGTTATTAGAGGATTCAAGAGAAGCTCCCCAAGTCCTTAGAGTACATAATAAATGCTTAATAAACTGTGGTTACCTTAATCCTAGCAATAAATAAAAGTGAAATGCAAATTCCTATCAGACCCAAGGGTCTCATTAGGAATATCAGAAGCCCAAAAAAAGGAAATATTCCAGCAAGCCATAATTAAGTAATTGTGTAACAAATTCACAAATTCCACATGACCCAGTCACGTGACCAGGTACAGTTTTCCCAAGTCTGTCCATGAGAAATGAAGGTACAAAGAGGTTTTCATATCATAAAGCGAGGAACAGGCATAAATCCTAATAACTACAAACTGAGAATGCAGTCTCAGTTCATCATAACCCAGAGTTGATATTGAATAGCTTCAAGTAACTACAGGACCCTGCTACTATTTAATAAAATGTCTTTAGAAAATAATTAAATAAGAAAAGGACTCTTCCTAAGTAAAAAGGTTTACATAAATGCTATGACCCACCTTCGTAATTCAGACATGAATTCTTTTGTTTTTCATTAAATTCTATTAACATAAGTTTGGGTTTGTTTGTTTGTTTTTTTTAAGATTTTTATTTATTTATTTAACAGAAATAGAGAGCACAAGCAAGCAGAGCGGCAGGCAGAGGGAGAGGGAGCAGGCTCTCCGCTGAGCAGGGAGCCCGATGCAGGGCTAGATCCCAGGACCCTGGGATCATGACCTGAGCTGAAGGCAGCCGCTTAACCGATTGAGCCACCCAGGCGCCCCAGTTTGGGTATTTCTAATCAATGTAAAGAAGGTGGATTATTCAACTATTTGGGGAAAAACCCATTCTGCCCTATGAGTCACACCCTACAAAGTTAATTACAAATGGATTAAAGAGTTAAATGTAATGCTATAAATAAACAAAGAAAAAGTATAGGCAATAATCCCATATACTCCGGTGATAGGTCTTTCTAAGCACATCCGCATCAACCATAAAAGAAATGACTGACAAATCTGACTAGGTACAGATGCAGAACTTCTCTAATCAAAAGACACTTTAAGGGGCGCCTGGGTGGCTCAGTCGGTGAAGCGTCTGCCTTCAGCTCAGGTCATGATCCCAGGGTCCTGGGATGGAGCCCCGCATCGGGCTCCCTGCTCAGCTTCTCCCTCTCCCACTCCCCCTGCTTGTGTCCCCTCTCTCGCTGTGTGTCTCTCTCTCAAAAAAAAAAAAAAAAAAAAGACACTTTAAACAACAATAAAAGGCAAATGGCAAAATGGAACAGTCTATAATACATATAAAAGGAGGTGCTATTAGAAATAAGTCAGAGAGTGGCGCCTGGGTGGCTCAGTCGTTAAGCGTCTGCCTTCAGCTCAGGTCATGATCCCAGGGTCCTGGGATCGAGCCCCA